AATAATAATAATAATAATAAAAACAGAACGGATAAGTAATACCTTGGGATCTTGATTGGTGACGCACCAAACCCTAAAGCTCCTGGTCTCTCTGGTCTGGTAAAACGGAAGGAACGTGCATTGATGGAAAGTGGAGAATGCAGAAAGGTGAGAAACGAAAAGGTTAGTTCGATGAATGAACACTTACAGAGAGAGATCGAGGAAGATGAAGCGACGGAGAGATGGTGTGAGACCATGTCAAAGCAGTGGCTCCACACATTTCCATTCGGATTCAGCACTCACCACAATTTGGAAGACACAGGGTGAGTGAGTGTTAATAAACTATGCATTCTTATTCTCGCCGTGGTTTATTTGGAGCCACACCAACTACCTTCTCATATCCATCCCTCGCTTGCACTTTTCTGATTGGACCATCCATTTTTTCTTTTTAACTCTTCAAAAACATAATTTCTTCTGGTTAGAGTTTATATACATTATCAGAAGGACAAATCCTGATATAGAAATAGAGTTTTAAAGCTGATAATATTTTCAATGTAGTCAAATTAGTATAGGCATGATATTTGGGATTTTTTTTTTTTTGGTTTTTTGGTATTAAGAGTCTCGTTTGATACTCTACGGACGATTTATAATATATGATTTTCGTGTGTGACTTTTTTTATCATTAAATATAATAGTGTTTTCTTTTTATTATCTTTCTTCCTTAGTGTTATAGAGGATCGGAATGGTGATTGTCTTGATATGAGATTATATTGAAGTAATAAAGAGTGAGAGGAATGTATCATCTTCTTTTTCACAAAAAAGAGAAGAGTGACATGATAAAAAGATAAAAATAAAGTGTCATAATCTCATGTTTTTTTTGGAAAGAAAGTCGTGAAGTACTAAACTTTAACAACTATGTGAATAAATCTCAGAATTATTGTATCTTTCAAAATCATTAACACATAGATTACTTTTGAAAAAAATACTTATACTTATTTAAATCAGTACAATCAAGAATTATTATGAAGTATAAGAGCCATAATTTCATAAGATTTTGAAAATTTTGAAATGAAACTTAGATAATAATGATAAGACTTTTCTACTTTTTAATACGTATCTTCAAATGTATGAGCATTTGAAATTTTTTTTTGGTTAAAAAAAGAAAAAAATATTATCCCAAGAGAGGTTCAAACCTCAATTAGGACTAAGAAACTACATTAAATTTCAAGAGTTTAGGAAAAATGATAATGAATTTAATATAACTATCTCAATGATGAAGAATAAGAAGAAAAAAGAAACAAGGAAAAATTTGAATTTTTAAAGAGTTACATGTAATCACTAATTAGCCTATAAAAAATCAGTAGATAATTGAATGCAAGTAGGTATTAAAACAATGAAAGAATAATAAATGACAAAAAAAAAGTTTATAAAACAATGGTGAAATGTTTTATTCTAAGAAGAAAAAATTGAATATAATGAAGTTTTCTCACATATAATAAAATATTATTTGACACGAATTTTGACATAATTTTGAATTAAAACAATTAGACGTGAAGACAACTTCCTTACATGAAGATTTGGAGTGTAAATTTGAGAAATTTTGTTAAGAATAAGGAAAAATTTCATTTTTTGAGAAAATAAATGTATATCCTAAGATAGAGCTCATGTTAGCGGTGCAAGATATTCAACTATTTATATGTAGTTATAATAACTATGTTTACATTCAGATATGATAATTATGTCTATATTTTGAAAAGAGAATAATGTGAATTATTTTTGTTTATATGTAGATGTTATCTTTGTATACCGTAAATATAATATAAAGATGAAACTTAAAGTTCAAAGAAATATCAAGCCCTAAATTTGATATGAAAAATTTTGGTTTTGCAAGGTGACTAGAAATAGATAGACAATCTACTTATAACAAAGAAGTTGTTACAAGTTATTTAGATGCACATTATACAATAAAATGACTTTCAAAGCGCATGTTCACATTGTTTAAGACCATAATTTAATTTGTTGGAAAAAAATTACAATTTTGTGGTGGTTTTATTTACTATCCATATAGAGTATACCATACTCACATAAGGGGTAAATGAGATTTTATAGTTGAAGTGAATGATAGGAGAACTAAGTATTATACAAAAATGTGTAATTATTTATCAAGATAGTTAAGGTGTCTTACATTTAATTGTTGTTTAGAGTTGATTAATTTTTCATTTAAGAATAAAGAACAATTATGGAAGAAAGTTCTTTTGTGATTTATTGTCAATATGGAGAATTATGAAGATGGTTGTAAATGAAACCATATAAAGAAAAACTCATTAAACCTATCTACTAGATTATCTATTAAACGGTTTACCAGTTACTAGATTATCTATTAAACCATTTACTAGTGCGTGGACAGTAGATTATACACATAAAGACAACTAGACCATTTATAGGTTACACCATTTAGTGGTCATTTAGTGGTGCATAAATATTACATTATTTCCTGTTTTAAATCTTTCTATTATATTTGATGCCAATATATATAACTTTTTATTTGATATCCTGTAAATATTTTATGACAGATTATCTTAGAGCATGTATTTTTCTTATTGATGCGTTTCTTTTATTATTCCAAACCTACCAGAAACAATCAAAGTGAAGTACTTTTCTCAGTATTGACAATAGTCGACGGTATTAACATAATTTCTATGCAATCAGGCTCAAGCGAAGGAAAGTAATAGTCGCAACCGCAAACAACGATGAAACGAACCGAATGGATAACTCGGACAATATGTCTAATTTGTCTAAAAAGTTTACATTTGAGCTAAACATACAAAGATCAATTGAATGTAAAGAAAAAATAGGGTTTTAAATTTGAGCTAAACATACAAAAACCAATTGAATGTAAAGTTACTGAAAGGGAAAATAATACACAGGCCTACTACTCTCCTTGACAAGAAATGGCAGCCATGTGATGAACGTTGCCAGTTCCGAAGTAGAGAAAAATATCGTATCAAACTTGCTACACGTGACTAGAGTGCGTTATTATAAGAAAATAAGAAAATATCCTTGAGCTAACTCTTGGATCCTGTAGCGCCGCGTAAGTCATGTACGAGTGAGAGGTTCAGAAAAAAGCAGGTTAGATGAAGACTCATTAATGAATGATTTTGATGAGGTGAAGAAGCACGTTGAAACATCAATTCAATCTGATTTCTCAAGATCACTGCTTCTCTCTGATTATTCATACCATTCTTCAATTTTTTACCTTTCTACTATTTGTTTATTTGTCTGTACAACAGTCTAACATAACATATTTAAATGAAAAAAAAACAGTGAAATTTAAAAATAAGTATGCAAAGATACATATAATAATCTGACTTTAATCTACAAATAACAAAACACTTATATTACAGCTCATCTAGTAATTCCGTTGTATTTCTAGTAGGGAAAAATAACACCACATTCAAAATTAGTACACTGAGAAGTTAGCCTATTCAACTCAATCAAGTTAATTTCACATTTCGTTCCTGCCTCAACAATAACACGATTCAGAATAATATTAGAGTGCTCAAAAAGTTCTTTTATTGAGATTATACAACTAACTGATCAAAACACAAGGCAACGTTTAGCCACACTAGCATCCAATATTAAAAGACTCATTAATACAAATAAATTACAATGGCAGTAGCAAAAAAAAAATTAATACTAAGGGTATATGGCACAGGGAAAAAAGAAGCTTAAGAAGCTTTATTAAGCAAAGAAAGACTACACTTATACAAACACAAAAATGACTGGTGCAGCTACTGGTTTCACATAAGTATGTGTTAAATCCTGAAAGTGCCGTCCCAACATCACTAACCTCCACAATTAACAATTTACCCCCTCGCCCTCATAATAAGAAGGTTAAAAGCAGAAGGGAGATCAAAGAATATTTTGCAGCACATATTTCTTAATCAGCTCTAGACTGACCAGCACGAGAAGACAGGATGATACCAACAATGAGACCATACAGGGCAAGAGCTTCAGCAAAGATGAGGATGAGAATCATTCCAACGAAAAGCTTTGGCTGCTGTGCATTGGCTCTGTGGACGAAGATTAATTATTTAAAGCAAGAATTTTAATAGGATTCATTATAAAAGCTATATCCCTGTATTAAACTAACAGCAAAATCTACATTTCATCAAGGATAACATGATAAGATGTCCATTGATTGAAAGCATAGCGATTGCATTAAGTATCACCCTGAAATCTATAGACTTCAGCATATGATCAAAACAGGTTGAATAAAAAAGGTGATCAAATTAGTATCCACGTTAATCATAAGATGAGATGCCAAGGCAGAAGAATAATACCTAACACCAGCATCACCAACAATACCAATAGCCATGCCAGCAGAGAGCCCAGCCAGCCCACAAGCAAGACCAGAGGAGAGATGTGCATAACCATCAAAGAGGTAATAAGATTTGGCCTTGGGATTAATGCCAGTACTGATGATAACAGCAATAATAAGACCATAAATACCCAAAACTCCAGCCATAACAACAGGAACAATAGACTTCATCACCAGCTCCGGTCTCATCACACCCATTGAAGCCACGCCCACACCACTCTTTGCTGTGCCATAGGCAGCTCCCATACCTTCCTCCGTCATTTCAAATAACTCTTAGTAAGATAAATCTACAGAGAATGAAGAGCTAACAAAGAACCTCACAATTCCTCTTTCTATGTTTAAATACACAACATTCAAGCTCTTGTACCAATCAATTTCAAGAATAAAAACAACGGGAAGATATTTCAATAGACTATTTTTGTCAACTGAGAGCCAACCAAAGCAACGAAAATTCTAACCAAAACTATTCGTATCAGTCATCAACCTATATCTACAAGAAAAAATCAGTCCTTATATGCCAAAATAAATCTACGATTTGCAGCTACGCAATTGAATCCAACAAAACAATTGAACCGCAGAAACTACCAAAGAATAACTGAATCAACCAACAATAACATATACTATTTGCCTTTTTCCTTTCATGCAGGGATCAAATTGCGCACAGGAAAATAAAATTTCCTAATACAATCTCGAAAGAGATCATGTAGCAGCTACGAACATAGATCTAATTGAAAAAATAGGTATTGAATTACAGGAAAAGACGAGTGCAGCTGCGGCCCCAAGGAAGCCGAAAAACGGTGCCGTCTCATCGCCACTGAAGGAAGCCATAATCACTGCAACGACGTCGAATAGATCTGATCTGCGAAGTGAGTTATTCCGGTTTCCCCAGAGAGGTTCCACGTTCCGATCTCTGTTACCGTACAGTGTGGAGGTGAAGGAACCTTTTCCCTTATTTTATAGTTGGTTAATTACCTTCCGTGCCCCCAACTGAACTGGTAAATATAACCCGACCCGAATTTATTCGGTTTTATCTTCCCACACCTCCAAAAATTTCTTGGCTCACCCCATCATTTTTCAAAATAAACATTTTACTCTTTGTAAAAGTTTTCCAAAAGTTATTTCTAGAGAAAGAAATTTTTAGAATCGATTTTCAGGAACAAGTTTTCAGAACGTATACATATAATAACTTCAGAAATAAGTTTTTTTAAATTGATTTTTCTAAAACTAGTTTTTCATAATATATTAAATGTGTTCTGAAAAGAGTTTTTTTGGACGAACCTTTTTATTACAATGTGTTTTAAGGGGTGCAGAAGAAATTAATGGGGTGCAGGAAGTAATTTCCTTTGTTTTATAATAGGCTTAGATTTCTACCGCATTGTGGCCCAAACATGTAGCATAAGAGATCATGGTCAAAGCATGCAGTAGCAGAGGTGAGTGGAGGAGGAAGAGAAGAAAAACATGGCAATTACGCTCAACAATGGCTTCAAGATGCCCATCATTGGACTGGGTGTGTGGCGCATGGAAGGAAAAGCAATCAAAGACATAATTCTCAATTCCATCAAAATTGGTTATCGCCATTTTGATTGTGCTGGTATTCTAGTGTTCCAAATTTAGCATATATCTTGCGCTTCTTAATCTAGATTGGAATCTTCTACCTTCTTAGGCGTTTTTTTACGGTATGAACAGCATTCGAATTGAATCGAAAAGCCCTGATTAAAACAAAATAATTTACCTTAGTTGATGCACACGGTCGATGTTCTTTTTGTGCAGTTTAAAGTATTAAAACGATTAAAAGTTACCGTCTTTTTTCTGAATATTCTGATGCCTCCTTTTATCCCTTTTATGCTGTTGGATTAACCCCACCAAAACCTGTTGATTAATTAATGTCAAAGGATAAGTTTTAGTTGATGCGTTTACTTAGTGATTTGTGGATTAGCATAAGGTGGTTAACGAGATTTGGATGCGTGTTGCAGCTGATTACAAGAACGAAGCAGAAGTTGGAGAGGCGCTTAAGGAGGCTTTTGATAGTGGCCTTGTGAAGAGGGAGGACCTTTTCATTACCACAAAGGTTAGTTTCATAGTAATTCCTGTTCGTGATTTCTGTAGGTGAAGATGATAATGATAATTGTTCTGATTCAGATAATTACAGTCTTATACTTTGCTTTTGAATGTGCTTTTAGCTTTGGAATTCTGATCATGGACACGTTCTTGAGGCATGTAAAGACAGTCTTAAGAAGCTTCAGTTAACTTATCTAGACTTGTATCTTGTTCATTTTCCTGTTGCCGTAAGGCATACTGGTATGTCCGTTTCCTTTAATTTATCTTTCATTGCATGTACGGTTACAACTATAACTGTCACTGTTAAAGGAGTCATCTAACCGCGCATCTTTGAACATTACACTGAAAACATAGTTGAGCTTCAATTCCATACAGACAAGATCAGTCATATATATATGAATACTTCCGTTTTGTTATTCTGTGATAATGTATACTTTATATGCTGGCTACTTTACAAAATTAGCTCAAATCATGGCATTTTGTTTGGGATTTTTAATAGTGATTTCATGCACATTTGAATGCTTTGTAATATAATTTTCGCATATTGCTTACATGCAGGGGTTGGTAATACTTCTAGTCCTTTGGATGATGATGGAGTGCTGGATATAGATACCACCGTATCCCTGGAAACTACCTGGCATGCGATGGAGGATCTTGTTTCATCCGGCTTAGTTCGAAGCATAGGGATCAGGTGCAATTTGGTTATGCAAACCATTTTTGCTATGTTCAAGTAGATGCCCCAAAAAATATTTTTGCTACCCTTTATGGGCAAGTTTTGTCCAGTTATTTAGAACAGTAAAATCCAGAATGAAGAAAGATAAAACAAACAGTCCTGTCAAGTTCACGAAGATTGACATCTTGACAACCTCTCATTAGTCATTAGTCATTAGTCACATGATTTTAAATGCACTTTCCAGCTCCTACATGACAGTTTATATTGTTGGGGGATGATTAAAAAGACTTGCAGCCAAGTCTCTTTGCATTATCCATCTTTATATGCTGTGATATGAATCTGATTTTTGGATCTCCATCATTCTGGTTTGTTCACTCTTGCCTCAGGTTTCAGGTATTGATTTCTGTTAGACTCTTGTACCATGATGAAGAGGAATGTATTGGATAACCCATCTATGTTTGATTTAATGGTCTAGATGTTCCTAGTATTAACTTGAGAAATGGTTGATTCTTTTTATTGAAATTGCATTCTTTCAAAAATGTTATTTGCAGCAACTATGATATCTATCTGACAAGAGATTGCTTAGCATATTCCAAGATAAAACCTGCTGTAAATCAGATTGAAACCCATCCATACTTCCAGCGTGAGTCTCTCGTCAAGTTTTGTCAGAAGCATGGGATTTGTGTCACTGCACACACTCCATTAGGAGGTGGTGCAGCAAATTCTGAATGGTTTGGTACAGTTTCATGTTTGGATGACCAAGTTTTCAAAGTGAGTGGTCAATACTAGTTTCCGAGCACAATGCTATTAACAAACTACCATAACTGCCTGCAATTGTGTATGAAAAAACAGTTTCACGGAGTAGATTAATTTGAGGAGGTTGTACTATTTTCTTTGATTTCAGGGTCTGGCTGAAAAATACAAAAAGACTACCGCCCAGATTGCTCTTCGCTGGGGCATTCAGAGGAACACTGTGGTCATTCCCAAATCGTCAAAACTGGAGAGGCTGAAAGAAAACTTTCAGGTTTTTGATTTTGAGTTGGCTAAAGAGGACCTGAAGCTCATTGGAAATCTGGATAAAGCATATCGAACTAATCAACCAGCTGTGTTTTGGGGCATAAATCTGTATGCATGAGAATACCGTTCCTAAGAATGTATCATGAACTTCCAATATGCAAAAACATACTGGCCGTTGGATCTTGAGACTTGTCTTGACATTCAGAGCTGGTATAAGCTTCAGTCTCCTTGGTAGTCCATTGATTTGATCATCCAATCTCTTCTTTTCGATGGTTCAAATATTATCTTTTTAGCCCATAGAAAATTTCGTGGACTAAATAAAAGGGAGATTTCTGAACATTTTTAGTTAATTTTTTTTGCCCATTTGCTCTCTTCCCTTTTATTTTCCGTTCTATTTGAGAGTATTCATCTTTTGGAGATGTGAACTTTTAATTGATAAGTTTCTGAAATATAGAAAATACAATAATAAAAAATTGGTAAATTTTGTTAATTACGAATACTTCAACGAAGAAATAACTGAAATTTTTTCTATCACTGAGTCAGTCTCGTAAGACATCACTCTTAAAAATTTGTATAATGTTTATCAGTCTTCTGTTCATCTTTTTTATTTCCATCATCTAATGTGACACTTCCAATTTATGTTCAACAAGGTAGATATTTGCCAAGATCCCTAACCTCAGATATAAAATGCCTGCCGAAGCATCCGAACCCTCCTTTCTACACCACACGAACACATGAATTTAGATTTATAAAGATTCACCTTCAATTCGAATTTCCCATAAAATGTCTCAACATGGAAGAATGCAAACGAAACTGAGATCCTCTGGCTTTGCAAAATAAAAAGACGCCATCCGGAAAAAAAATGAGAAAGAGCAGGACCATTATACTAGAAATAGATTTGCCATGCACCTTCATCTACCAACTCCTGAATGTAAAGAGATAGCTTCTCCATACACAATAAAAAAGATAAGGAGCAAGAGGATCTTCATCTAAGTCCTTTAATAGGTTTGATGCTCTCCAGTCTAGATCCATTCAAAAGATGCAGAATTGACCCAATACCCCCACATGATGAGCTAAATGGTAATATATAAGAAAAAAAAAAGAAACCCTTTCTAAACACCAACTTCTAAGAAATCCCACTGTACAATGTTATAAGTTTCATCAAGATTAATTTTGATGACTGCAAAACCGTCGTTGCTCTTACTTTTGTGCATGAAGTAAAAAATCTCCTGAGCCAAAATAAGATCATCGGTAATACTCCCACCAGGTATAAATTTACTTTGAAGATGGCTAACGATGCCATCAAGGAAGGTCGAAGGCTATTATTAACGTTTAATCGAAGGCTATTAACTTTTAATTGAAAGGAAAATTGTCTAAGTCTAAATTCGCATTCCTAGTTGTAATTAATTAGGATAATGATACTTTTGACAACATTTTTGTTACAACATTTTAACATCATCTACGTGTCATCTGTGATTGGTTCATACTGGTGTTTATGATTTTTATTATTGATCGTGGAATAATTTTGGACCAATTACAGAATGACACGATGATGTTAAAATGTTGTCAAAATATCATTATCTAATTAATTACCATGACAATGATGTATTGATTGAATAACTTGGCTAACCACACACCCATAACAGTATTAACCATGGTTATTTCAGGATAAAAAATTATATTTGTATACAAAGTTATGCAAGTTTTCCTCCAGAGATTTGTAATTTGATAATCATAGAAAAGAATACTTCAACCAATAATATTGTCACCGCGAAAGTTATCAGCAACCGATGAGTATTTTACATGGCCAGAATTTCCTGAAATTTCTACAATGAATGCAACCATATCTATTTAGGGTTTATTTTGGAGGGTAAAAGTAAAATAGGATCGACTCTGACTCTGAATGTTTGATTTTTACACCAAAAAGAGAGCCAAAAGTTATCTCGGTAATTTCAGTATAAGCTTACCTACACTAAAAAAGCACGATCTAAACAAGTAGAACTTGAGAAATAGTAAAGATCTTTGCTGAGATCAATTGTGATAATTACACATTGCTCATAGTCTCACAGAAGAAATGGAATTATAGCAAATCGATTACTTGGATAATCTTTAAATTTCTGACGATACCATTTATGTGTTTCCACAGCTGCGAATGACAGATTTGCCACCTATAAAAGAAATATGCCA